AAGTTAAGTTAAGTTAGTAGTAGTAGTAGTACGTAGTACGTAGTACGTAGTACGTACGTAGTAGTAGTAGTAGTAGTAGTAGTAGTAGTAGTAGTAGAGTAGAGAGAGAGAGAGAGAGAGAGAGAGAGAGAGAGAGAGAGAGAGAGAGTCGAAAATGAGGAGCTGTTGCCGTCTACCCCAACCCCTCAGCTGGAATCAGATCTATGACCTTTATCCCAAAACCTGTCCACCACCACCAAGTACTCAACATCCCCACTTACCCCGCCCCCCTTCTTTCTCCCGGAGAGTCAAGACTTCCATTTCGGAGGTTAAACAATCTCTGAAAGCCTTTTACTTCCAGGTGGTTGCTACCACGAAAACAACCACCAGCCCTTCCGCCACCTCAGCTCTCTCCGGTGGGTATCCCCTTGCCACTATCCCTTCTCCGTTTTTTCCCTTCTGCATCTTTACCCCACCTGTGGAGACAGAACAACTCAAACCTGAACTTTTGTCATCCCTGGTGGGAAAGTTCCTACTTAGATGAGATGATGTCAAAGGAATTGAAAGATGGGCCCAATGCCTTTGGGGGGAGCCTAAACTTACTTGCGATTGCCTTTCCAGTGGCGACTTCCTCTTTTCCTTCCTATCGCCAGAATACGCCCTACGTATTCATCTCCACAAACTTCAAAAGGGCCACCTGCTTCCTCTGTACCTGGTCTCCAAAAGAAGGGTCTTTTAGGAAACAGAGAATCTGGCTCACCCTGGACCACGTCCCCCTCCACGGGTGGTCTCTATCCACTTTCAGGAGAATCGCAGAAGCCCGTGGTAACTTGATTTCTATTCATTGGAAATCTCTAGAAACTCTCCCTCTTGGTTCCATCTGTTTCCTCCTAGAGGTTTTGGACACCAGCCTTATTCCAACAATTATTTGGCTAGAAGTAGAAAACCTCTACTTCCTGGTCTCACTTTCATGGTCGGAGGCCTCCCCCCCCTCTCCCCACTTCCCTTTGGAACCAAATCAGTCGAAGGATGACTCCTCTCAGCCTTGGACCACAGTATTGAGGAAAGTCTGCCACCCCAGGAGGCGTTGCCGGCGGCCTCCCCTCGATCTGGCGCCCCTTTGGGTGCGCCACGATGACAATCCTCCCAAATCACAATAGGCAGCCATCTGGCGACCATGTGTCGACAGCCTTGGTTAGACAAATATGAGGGGTGACGTCAGTGAGCCGGCAAAGCAGCTTCAAGGTGCTCCCCACTTGACAGACTCAAGCTCCATAGGGGCCACGCTCATACGCCCCCCTCATCGACCCGGCAAAGAAGTTATAGTCGACTGTGAACCCTCTCCCTCATCTCTATCTTTAGGCCACCACGACAGACCCGGCCCATCGTCGCAGGCACACATCCCTAGTCCCCAGCTAGTATGCTTGACACCTACGCCAACCGTCCACGCTCCCTTCTATTCCTCATCCTACCCAATTGTCACGTATCACCTCGCGTCGCCACCCCTACGCACTTGTCGACATCGCCTTATCCGCCCTTGTCCACGTCTTCTCTCCCGCCCACTCCTTTCTTGTCACTGTCGCCTCCATCCTTGCTCAGCCGCCCCCTACCTACCTCCTCTCCCTTGCCGTTTATCCAAGAGCCACCACTTCTACCCTGTCTTTCCGACGGCGACATTTGGCCTTCTTCCCCTTTAGCCATTAATGGACTCGTCTGGCCCCCTCTCTTTCTTCTCCCATTCTTATCGTCCCTTCAGCTGCTTCTCCTTCCCCCCTCTTCCTGGCACACCCTCCCCCACCACTCAGACTTTAGAAGCTCGCCCTGCCTCCACTTCCCTTCCTGCGAACCCTAATCAGGAACCCACTCTATCGGACCTGTACCCCCCTTCATCACCTAGCCTTTCTCAACCCATGGCGCTGCTTCCCTTGCCTAGTGCCGTACCCTCTACTCCCCTTCTCTCTCTGATGTTCTTTCCTCTTCAATCTGTAGAGGAGGTAGAACCTGCTGAGCCACTCAAGCCCGGACCACCTTTCTCATCCTTCTAGAATGGACAGACACCAGCTCCCTTATGGTATAGCGGTTGTACACTCCACGAACCCCTCTCGCCCAGACCCAGCTTTTATCTCGTCTCTACTTGTCCCTCACCTCTCCTATACCCCTCACCTGGTCCACATCTGTAGGGTCTGAACCTTGCACTTCCCTTACCCACCCCCTTTCATTGGCCTTAAACCTCTTTTGCATCCCCCCAATTCCACCACTTCCTTACCTATCTACCCCCCTCCTTCTACCCCCATCCTTCTACACTGGAACTCTCTCCCTCTTTAGCCCCTACCTTCACGCTTCTCCTCCAGCCCCCTATTTCCACAGTGTCCCATCCTCACCCCCTTCAACCTTAGTCCAGGGACTATTGACCTCCAGTCCTCTTATCTTACCTGAGTCACCCCAATATGACACGCCCACTCTCCCTTCTCACCCCTCCTCTTCGGCTTCCCCCAGCTCTATTAACTACCCCGCCCCTTCCTCCCCCTTCAACTTTGATCCACTTCCAGCCTTGCCTCCAGATCTCTACCCTATCAACCCTTCCCTTCCTCTGGGTGCGCTTGATTTCGAGTCGACTGAGGCACCAACCCTGCCCATCTCTCCCTCTTCAGAAAATGCTAACGTTGAGGAGGTCAACGGGGATGGGAAACACAGTGATAGGGACAGGATGAAGGAAATTTACCGGATCATGGGGTTCCAACACGATGGTCTTGAAGGACCGGCCCACAAATTTCTACTCGCAGATGCGCAAAGCTGGCTGAAGGTGAGAACCAAAGGACAAAGGACCTTCTCAACCTTTTCTCCTCAATCTCCTACACGGGACAACCTTTAAACGACTTCTCGGCACCAACCACTTCTCCATATTCGAGGAGGTTTGCTAGACTAGCGTCCTCCCCTGCCCCTACCTCTGAACCATGAAGATCCTTACATGGAATGTAAGGGGTTTGGGACAGTCGTCCAAAAGGGATGCTGTTAAGGACTTGACCTTAAAACACCTCCTTACGATACTTGCCCTCACAGAAACTAAACAACCAGAGTCCACCCTCCAACTCATTCGCCAGGTCTAGGGTACAAAACCTTGTCAGTGGTCTCTCTACCAGCGGATGGGGCTTCAGGGGGTAAATGGGTGATCTGGAACCCTTCAGAACACATCCTCCTCTCTTCCCACCTAGGGGAGTTCTCCGTCACCATATTTCTCTCTCGCACAACAGACAGTTTCCCATGGAAATTCTCGGCCATTTACGGCCCTAACTCAACCTCTCTCAGACCACGGTTTTGGGCAGAATTGGACCACGTAGCTTCCCTACCCCATCATGCTTGGTGCATGAGTGGGGACTTCAACATCACAAGATGGTCACATGAGAGGAACTCCAACCCCACTATCTCCCAGGGAATGAGGGACTTCTCGGACTTCATTTTCCGTAATGAACTCCTAGACATCCCGCTTCAAGGAAACCATTTTACGTGGTCCAACTCACCCCAACCATCCCTCTCTAAACTAGACAGATTCCTTCTTTCTTTGAATTGGGAGGAACACTTTCTAGGTTCTCATGTCATGGCCTTACCTAAACCCACCTCTGACCACTGTCCCATCCTCTTGAATACCCTAGTAGTTAGAAGAGGACCGAAGCCTTTTAGATTCGAATTAGCCTGGCTTCTGGAGGAATCTCTCCCCACCCTGATTCCAATGGTGGAACTCCTTTTCCAGCCAGGTTTTGGGAAGAGCAGGTTATAGGCTCCAACCAAAATCCAATTCCTCAAAGCCTCCCTCGAAGCCTCCCTCAAAGCCTGGAGCAAGTCCATCCTCTACTAAATTCCATCCAAGACCTAGATCGAACTGTGGAGTCGAGACCTCTGACAGACACAGAATCAAACCTCAGAACCAAAACAAAATTGGAATACTTTTCCATCCTCAAAAAAGAAGAACTATATTGGTACCAGAGGTCAAAAGTTAACTGGCTGAAAGTAGGGGACCAAAATACGTGCTTCTTTCACCGAATAGCTAATTGTCACAGAAAGGATAATACTATCTCGATTATCAAATTGGACAATCGATATTGGAGCAACCAGAGGAAATCGAGTTGGCCATTCTTGATTTCTTCTGGACCCTATATACTGCCCCAGCGGGTCCAAGACCGAGGATGATGACTCTTGATTTCTTAACCCTTTCGGAAGACCGGGCACTTTGGCTAAAGCAACCTTTCTCGGAAGAAGAAATCTTAAAGGCTATTGATGACTTCCAGACGGGTTTCCCATAACACCCTTTAAAACTTTTTGGGAAACTTTCCTTCTAAACTTCTTAAGATTTTTTGACGAATTCTTCCATCGGG